GGAGAAGAGCGGTGGACTTACTTTTAATTTTATCTGACTTATTTTATTTTGTTTTTATCGTCCTGCAGGCTCTGAGAGAAAATTAATTTGAAGCTGAGTTTTTTTTATAAAAATCGTTAGATTACTCTAAAGCAAAATGAGTGAAAATCTGTGTCAGTTCCAGACATTGTGTTCAGGTGAGCAGCTGTCAGTCAGCACCTGTCTGAACCAATCACTGATCATCTGACTAATTTAAATACATCTTAACATTCATGAGGTACTTTACATTGACTGTTTATGGTTGAGTGTGGGCGTGTAGAGGGTAGAACCTGAGGAGGACCTCGTGTTCAAACTCTGACGTGCGGCTGTGATTTATAAAGGAAAGATGTAGAAACATGCGTACGTACGGTTTTATAAATCTGAATTTGTTTTGGCGTACGTTCAGTTTTAGTGTGGTTTCCACACAATCCTTTATAAATGAGACCTGGTCTGTGTTCAGATGGTGGAACCAGTGGACCTGTTCTGGAAGTGTGGTCTGGCCAACCCTCACACCAGTCACTGTCTGGGCAGTGGGCAGATCATGATCAGCTGCATAGGAGAGCCCTCAGGGGGGGCCAAAGGTAAGACCTGCAGAGGACTATCAGGTCCAGGTTCACAGTTTAAACCCCAAACTGACCATAAAGTTTCTATAGAACAGCTGGAGGTACGCTAACAGATGCTAACAGAGTCTAACAGAGTCTAAGAGAGGCTAACAGAGGCTAACAGACAGAGACTTACAGATGCTAACAGAGGCTTACAGATGCTAACATACGCTAACAGACGCTAACAGATGCTAACAGACAAACACTAATAGATGCTAACAGACAGAGGCTTACGGATGCTCACAGAGGCTAACAGATGCTAACAGAGGCTAATGGAGGCTAATAGAGGCTAACAGGTGACGGGATAGGGACGGCTCACTCTAGTGTTATTTAACTCTGTGCTGATCTCACTGTGGCACCCTCTGCTGCTCACTCTGAGTCCCTGCACCTGTTGCAGGTGGTTTTGTTCTGCTGGACGGTGAGACGTTCGAGGTCATCGGTAACTGGGAGCACCCAGGTGAAGCGGCGCCATTCGGCTATGACTTCTGGTACCAGCCTCGGCACAACGTGATGATCAGCACTGAGTGGGGCGCCCCCAAAGCTCTGGCTGACGGCTTTAACCCAGCTGACGTGAAAAAAGGTGAGTCAGTCAACTATTTATAGAGCACATTTTAAAAAGCACCAGGCAACCAAAGTGCTGTACAGGAAGACATAAGTTAAGACAAGAAAAGAAACATAAAACACATCAGGTTGACAGTAGGTGAGCAGACAGGATCACAGTTTGTTAAAAGCCAGAAAATAAAAGTGTTTTTAAAGTGCCTGTGACACGCACATTCATGGAATACAAAAAGTCAAAGAAAATATATTTATATTTAGGAAACTTGGCATAATACATGATTTTCCCCTTTATGTGACATAATTGGCTTATTTTCTTTTTGAACTTGGCTCAGCTAAAGTGAAACAGGAAGTGACATCAAAAGGGAACTCTTTGAAAAAGAGAACTTCCTGGTTTAATTTAGTTATTTGAACTCTGACTCTTTCTCCTCTCTCTATGATAGTGATTAAAATAATCTAAAGATAAATCAGATTCTTCTCTACAGTCTGTGTTGTTAGCCATTTTCTGTTTACATGCAGACATTCCCCTCTGACATCACTTCCTGTTACTTCACATGCAAATATCTCAACAACTATTCATGTCAGTGATGTGAAATCATTTTTTACAAAATGTTATCAGTGTTATACTTCCAAAAATAGATTAATTTTTATTACAAAAATTTGATGTCACAGAAACTTTAAAAGAGATTTAAAAACAGGAAGTGATGAAGCCTGTCTGACACTGGGGAGGATTGTTCCACAACTTGGGACCGACATCAGAAAATGCTCTGTTGTTTAGGGATGATCAGCAGCAGCTGATCATCTGATCTTAGGGGTCGGGGTGGGCAGATACAAGATTGTTCAAACATTTGAAAACAAAGAGCAGCAGCTTAAACTGAATTCTGTAGTGAACAGGGAGCCAGTGAAGAAACACCAGGATGGGAGTGATATGTTCACACCTGCAGGTCTGAGTTCAGAGGTGAGCAGCAGAGTTCAGCACAAGCTGCAGGCGGGAGAGAGAGGTCTGACTAATGCCTACATACAGAGAATTACAATAATCGAGACGAACTGTGATAAAAACATGGATTAATTTTTCCAGGTCAGATCTCACCAAGATTGATTTCACCTTTGCTGTTTGACGTAGCTGATAAAACCTCTTCTGAACAACACTGCTGATCTGTTTGTCAAATTTAAAATCAGACTCAAACTTCACCCACAAATTGGTGACAGTCCCTGAGATGGAGTGACAGTGAGCCGAGATCTACGCTGGGGGAGGAGGAGCCACTCAGTCCAAACAAAATAACTTCAGTCTTATTTTCATTCAGACTAAGGTAGTGATGAGAGAACCATGCTTTAATATCATTAAGACAGTGTATGAGTTGGACCATGTTGTTTTGTGCAAAGGGAAAATAGATCTGGCAGTCATCAGCATAACAGTGAAATGAAATACCAAACTTCCTAAAAACAGAGCCAAGTGGAAGTAGGTAAAGGGCAAATAAAAGGCGGCAAAGATTGACCCTTGGGGCACCCCATGTGGAAGTGGTGCTGTGAAGGACATAAAGTTGTCAATCTTTACACAAAAACTCCTATTTGACAAGTAGGACCGAAACCAATTGAGGGCGACACCCCAGTTAGATTGGATTAGACCTTTACTGTCATTGTACAAAACACAATGAAATTACAGTTCAGAACAACCTTCAGAAGAAGACAGAACATAACAAACACAGAAGAACAGTGCTTGAGACGAGAGTCTCGAGCACTGTGTGCACTGTCGTCTTCTTGTTCCCACCCTGGACCCACACTGGACCCATCCTGGACCCACCCTGGACCCATCCTGGACCCACCCTGGACCCACCCTGGACCCACCCTGGACCAGACACACTAGATGTTTTTAATCTCAGCAGGTTTCATTTGGACTTTGTTGTGTTTCTGGACCCTTGAAGAACCTTACAGATGTTTATTTGATGTTTTACTGGGTGGGGGGGGGGTGCAGCTGGGTTTTAGGGTCCACGGTCAGTTCTGTGGTGGTTCTAATACCACTGTTCCTCTGGCCCAGGTCTCTATGGGTCCAGCCTGCATGTTTGGGACTGGACCACCCACAGGAAGCTGCAGACTCTGGATCTGGGAGAAGATGGTGCTATTCCTCTGGAGGTCTGATTCCTTCATGATCCGAGTGCCACTGAGGGCTATGTGGGCTGTGCTCTGGGTTCCTCTGTCTTCAGGTTCTACAAGACACCGGTCAGTACTGATTGATTGATTGTTCGTTCATGTACAGAGCACAATAAAATTACATTTAAGAACACCCATTCAAGAAGACACACATGACAAACATGGGGGAACAGYTGATCAGGTCATGCAGCAACCAGCAGGGGTCGCACTACCTTTAAAAAAGAAAAACTAAAAACCACAGAAGGTTAGATGAGAGAAAAACAAAACATCATATTATATCAACACTGTGACACGTTATGGTGTTTATATAAAAAAACCTCTGCATAGAGCAGATTTATAAGCCAGAGGAGTAAGTGAGTTTAGGGGGCTTGTATCTAAAGCCATGAGTGTTTTTATGCACTTGTGTGAATATCTGAAGAATGAGTCCGAAGAATCCAAACCCCAGAAGAAAACCCCCATAGTTCAGCCATTGTTCAGAATATTGGTGGTTGGTTGGTTGGTTGGTTGGTTGGTTGGTTAATTGTTCATTCTGTGCAGCTTCAGGTTGTCCTTCAGGAGATCAGATTAGATGGAGTGAGAGGTGGGGGAGGAGCCATAAGTCGATGTAAACACCAGGAGAAATTAGATCCACAGCTCTTCAAGGTCAGCGTGGGGGGGAGGGGGTGGGGACGCATCTGTAATCAGTTGTTTGGGAACAGAGAAACTGTTTTGGGTCAAGCAGACGATAACAATTTTCTATCAGCCTTAATGTCTGCTGGTACATCTCAAGGTGGTGAATCCAATCAGACAAATAGTGTGGACAATCCCGCTGAGCTCTCAGCTTCTCCAGATCAATTGCATCTGGCCAGCAAAGTCCAGGGACCACAGCCGGCCCGCGACCCTGTCACCCAGCCACCAACACTGTTTGTAGACCACCAGGAGACCACCAAGCCAATCTGTAGAATCCAGTGATCAGAGTCCAGACATATAACCAGAACAGAGGTCCCACCTTTGACATGTTCTCCCATGGAAGAAAAAACTTTGTTCCAAAAATGTATTAAGAGACCAGCTAACCAAATCCGTAAAAATACAAATATCATAATTTCTGGTTTCAGATTAAAAACATAGAGAAGCTCCAAGCAGCAAAGCAGGGAAGATAAGGAAGGGCAGGAGAGAAGGAAAAAGCATCTAACTCTTCAGAGAGCAGGAACAAAAAATAAATAAACTCCTGCAACACCAGGAAGACACCTGCAGGAACCTGGTACCAGAACCTGGTACCAGAACCAGACCCCAGCTGTTGCTCATGCTTCTGTTTGTGTCTCAGGAAGGGAAGTGGGCTGCAGAGAAGGTCATCAGTGTTCCCAAGAAGAAGGTGGAGGGGTGGATGCTGCCTGAGATGCCAAGTGAGCCTGACCTCTGACCTGTTGCCCCTCCCATCTGTGACTCCGCCCCTCTGTAATTCCGCCCCTCTGTGACTCCCATCTCCTCTGTGACTCAGCCCCTTTACTACCCATCCCCTGTGACTCCTTCCCTTTATGACTCCTCCCCTCTGTGACTCCTCCCCTCTATGACTCCTCCCATCTGTGACTCCCCCCCTCTATAATTCCACCCCTCTGTGACTCCCATCTCTTCTGTGACTCCACCCCTTTATGACCCCTCACCTGTGTGACCCCTCTCCTCTCTGTCCCCCCCAGTAACTCCTCCCATCTGTGACTCCGCCCTTTTATGACCCCTCCCCTGTGTGTCTGCAGGTCTCATCACAGACATCCTGATCTCATTGGACGATCGTTACATGTACTTCAGTAATTGGCTTCACGGTGACATCAGACAGTATGACATCACCGACCGCAGGAAGCCCAGATTGGTCGGCCAGGTCAGGTGACACCTGTCTGCTGCAGGTGGTGACCAGATGATGGCTGAGAGTTAGACAGCTCACCTGTCTGTCTGTTCCAGGTGTTCCTAGGAGGAAGTCTCGTCAGTGACGGACCAGTGAAAGTTCTAGAGGACCCAGAGAAACAGGATCAGCCCCGCCCACGTTTTATAAAGGTTCTGTTCAGAGACTGCTCCTGATTTTACCTGTCTGTCTCACCTGTCTGTCTCACCTGTCTGTCTCACCTGTCTGTCTCACCTGTCCCTCACCTGTCTGTCTCACCTGTCCCTCACCTGTCTGTCTCACCTGTCCCTCACCTGTCTGTC